AACTGAAGTTTAAGGGTGATGTCAAGTTATTAAGAGAAGGCTGTTTGTTTGGTAACACCTATTTAATAAAACAGATTAGTAGATAGTGTCATTTAGAAGTGTTTTTTTCAAAAACTGCTTACCAGAGACTTCTTAGGGCATAAGAAGATAAGTGGAAATATTACTTTCAAGCTCTGCCTTATCCCATGACCGGTCAAAATGAAGTGGCTCTGGGGTGTCTTCTAGGCCTGAGATCCTGTATTTTTGGAGGTCTGGGCATCTAAGGTCAAAGAACTTTCTAAATGGTTCCATGAGGGTTGTCTGTTAGAACTGCCAGTGTTCCTATGGGATGCCTTCAGAGTTCCATCAGGGCCCAGAAGGGGGAAATCCGGGACAGTGGTTGACAATGCAGTCTCTTTTCAGAGAGATCGCCAATGATGGACCCCGGCATCTCCATGGTGCATCTGATTCCTACAGCCGCATTTCCCTGGTCCACTTGGCATCCTGACTGGAAGGACACAAGGTCCACTCATATTCTGGGAACCCACAGACCTCAGCTACTCTCACCCCCAGTCTCAAGATTACACAGGACACATTCAAAGAATTCTTTCTTTGAAGAAGGTCAACGTCTTTGGACTTGAGAATTACTGAGTCTCCTGCTTTCATTTGCTCCCCTGCCCTTGGTTCAGCTGGTTGAGAGAAGAAGCCATTGGCTTCAGTGTTTTCTTAACCTCGACAAAGCAAACAAGTGGAGAAAAATCCACTGTATGTTTTCTTCTCTCACAGGGCAAATTAAGAGGCCCTTCTGGATCCTTCTTAGTGGGGGTGGATTTGGTATTGGGAAGGGTAAACGTTTTTCAAGACTGTCAGGAGTCACTGAAATTATGTGGTTTTCATGGATAAGGGTGTGTGTGAGTGTGTGTGCGTTCCTTCGTGCAGATTTTCACAACCCAATGAAGTCCCCTGAGGCCTAAAATGAAGCTGAAATCATCCATGTCTCTTTGAATGCCAGTATCTCCAAAGAGCTCAGGAATTTCACAGTTTCCTGGAACTCAGACCTATGATGTGAAACACTTCAGTTTCTGACCCTTGTCAATTCTAATATGCCCATTGTTCTTTCTGGCCTGGAACTGACCCTTGCATACATTCAGAAACACTTACTGCACAGGACAAGGAAGAGGCATCGAGGAAGAAAATTGAAATATCATCATAATTGTCCTTTGAAAAATAGAATTAATTACTGGATTCAAACCCTCTGCAGTAATGGGGCACAATATTCTCTTTCAAAGATATTTCTGTTAGTTTTAGATTTTACAGTGCATCAAGATCAAATTTATACCCACAAAGGTGTTGGTATTGGCTGGCGCTAGATGAAATTATGAAGGAAAGCACATTGAATTTCCCTACCTTCCTTCTTTGTGACCTTTTACTGCCTCTTAATGACTCTCCTGCCCCAGATGTCCCTGCTCTTAGGACATTCTCTCCCAACAGAGAAAAAACAAGGTGATGTAACAAATTAATTCAAAGGGGAAAGAATTAGGAATGTGTTGTAGTGTCTCATGCTGCCATGAAACAATACACTTTAAAAGACAGCCTCTAAAGAGAGGGGTACTTTGTAGGAACAAGTTTCTTTTTAGGGGCGGGGAGAATGTTGTAAATTCTCTTCCTCATGAAAATCACTGGGGTGGGAGTGTGTGCATAAAACACACCCTTCCCCAGGCTTAACCCTGACCTGGGGGCTCTAGGAGAGGAATCTGAAAAGCCTGTCTTCTGGGTCATTTTTGTGACTAGCTAAGGTTGGAAGTCACTGCACTCTACACCCACACAAAGCTGAAGGGCCTGTAAAACACTGTGCTCCTCAGGGAGAGACCAACCTGTGTTCCATTTTTGACTCTCTTGCTCGACATGTGGCTTGAGCTAATCACGTAGCCTCCTTGAGTCTCGCCTGCAAGTTGGGTTAATTCTTCTGCTTTTGCTGTGTTGTTGTACGCGTGCAAATCATTCACATACAGGCCTGGCACAAAATTCTCAGACCCAGGGCTAAGCGCTCAGTTCCTGACCATTCTCATTAGTGTTGAGGAAGAATTTGCACGTCAGTGTCTAAATATCTTTGTATCGCTTCAGCTGGGTGTTCCCAATCTTTTTAAAAAATTTTTAAATGCTTTCTAATATACATAAAAGTATAGAAAATAGTATAATAACTTTTCCTGTGCCTGTTACTTCGTCTTTACAAAAATCAGCATATTGCTCTGCCTTCTTGTAATTCTGTTACATTTTTTAAGTGGTAGGAAACGTAATGATCCTTATGGTAACCTATGCTTGGTATTTTTTAAACCTTCTGAGCACGGATGCTACAATTTGGGGGAGGTGGATAACATACACTAGGAATGCCCCGCCCCGTCGCTCAGCACCCTGGTGACAGATAAATTTTAGTGACTCTCCTCAGACACCAGTCCAACCACATGAAATTCATGATCACAATTCAGACCCCTAGGTCCACAATGTACGCACACAAATAAGCCCGTGTCCTGGACCACATTTAATGCTGCCAATCGTATTGTAGAGTTAACGCCAATGAAGACATACATGTTTCCAAAAAGCGACAAGCATAATAACTGGGAAAACCATAAAGTGGATTCATGTCCAGCCCATGCCTCCAGCCAGACTGCACGTTTTATGCAGAAAACTGTGTCAGAGCAGCTGTTCATCAGGGTGAAGAACAAAAGCACGGAGGAGGCTGGAATTCTGGGCCTGGTGTGCTGGGTGATAGATCTGCTGTTCGAGAGTGTGAAGGACCTTCGGGGCGCCTGGGTGGCTTAGTCGGTTAAGCATCTGACTTTCGCTTAGGTCATGATCTCGCGGTTCGTGGGTTCGAGCCCCACGTCGGGCTCTGTGCTGACTGCCAGCTCAGAGCCTGGAGCCTGTTTCAGTCTGTGACTCCCTCTCTCTCTGACCCTCCCCTGCTCACGCTGTCTCTGTCTCTCTCTCTCTCTCTCCTATAAATAAATAAAACATTAAAAATAAAAAGAGTGTGAAGGACCTTCATGACTTGTTTCTTCCTGGCAACTTGTGACAGCCCTCACATTTTCAAGGGAATGTGTGCTCCTTGTCATCCGTTTCTAAGGCTCATGGTTCTTGAAATCCTCAGTCTGATGTACTAACACTGCCAGTGAGAACTCACAGCTCTTAGTATTTATTTACTCATAAGTTAACCATTGGATGGGAAGCCGACAGCCTAATAAACACGACTCTAAGCCCAAAGAAACAACATATAAATAGGAAGGGGAAAAAAAATAGTGTGGCTCAGAGCTCAGTTCTGCTAACTGTTTGGAGTAGAAATGAGAATCCAACACGGTCTTGCTCTTATGCTATGAATCCAGGGCAGAAGATGGCTCCGGGGTAGGGGGGATCAAGCTGTAGGGAAAGAGGTGTTGCAGCAGCTTTGAGGTGCCCACTTAAGCCGTGGGAAGCATGGGACTCATGAAAAGAAGACGTGCTCTTAAAGTGTAGAAGCCATGTTTGGCCTAGTTACCTTGTTCTCACACTGTTCACCTTAGGAATTCGCCAGGAAGCTTCCAAGGAAATTTCACACATACAGTCAGACAGCTGGTCCGATGAAGGCTGCAAATCCCCTGATCCCACCTCGCTCCTTACCCATGCCTCGCTAGCCTTCTAGAATTTCCATAGTGGGAGGGTGGCTTGTTGTGAACCTAACCCAGAACACTGTCTGTCACATAGTCACATTCCTGCCAGGTCACTTGCTTGCCTGCCCAGCTCCCTCCCTGGACATTGATAATCTCCTGACCCCCAACAATGCCCTGTGACTACAAAGTGATGAGACTTATCTCCCGAGCCAGATCTGGAACTCTGTCTTGTTACTTTTCAGTCACACCGGGCATATGACGCACTTGGAACACCTCAGAGGACAGAGAGGTCAAAAAGGTGTCATGGTTTACTTAAAGGACTAAAATCTGTTAATCATGGCTAAGAACAGGCAGGATGGAAAAGGGAAAGAAAGGAAAGGAGGATGGAAGGAAGGAAGGGTGGGCAGCTGGCCGCCAGTTACAAATTATTGAGAAGTCCAGCTCCTATTTTGTATGATTTTAAACCAAAATAATATTCTCATCAGCTAGGACACTTTACTTTCCTTGGGATAAGCTTTTCTCTCATTCTGAGGTGAGGAGGGTAACAAGTTGGCTAAAAAAGAGTTTTCCTTTAAATTGTGGGAAAGTCTCAGAGAGAGAATCCCTTAGCAAAGTGACATCTAGTTCTGACAATCTCTGATGCTCTTTAACGTCTTAACTTCATACTGAATTCACCTTTGCACTTTTTGTTACTGTAATGACAACATGACTTTCCTTCATGTGCTCCATTTTAAAGTTTTTTTTTTTAACATTTATTTGAGAGAGAGAGAGACAGAAAGGGAATGAGTGGGGAAGGGGCAGAGAGAGGGAGACACAGAATCCGAAGCAGGCTCCAGGCTCCAAGCCTGACACAGGGCTCAAACCCACAAACTGGAGATCATGACCTGAGCTAAAGTCGGACACTTAAGCAACTGAGCCACCCAGATGCCCCTAAAGTTGTTTCATTCATTATAAATCATCTCATCATTCATTATAAATATTCTTATCCCCAAGTGAAGAAAAACATCGGACAAAATGGGGGACACAAATTTAACCCGTAACTTCCACCCCTCCCCCAACTCTGTCAGCAGCCACAGGACCAAACCTTAGCGCATCTTCCACTCAGCACAACGGTCATCACCATATCAAAGAATTCGTTGGGGGCTAATTCGGGTAATGGCAGCTCCCACCTGCAGTATTTGGACAAGTGCCCACTACCACCGGCTGCCCAGGGCTTCTTGGAAAATAAATGGCTCTCAGAGTAACTTTTTTCTCTTCTGTGTCAATAAAACTCACCAGTCCTGGAAACTGCTTGCCCACATTTGGTGGGTCATTCCTCCCTTGAAGGGATTTGAATAAGGAACCAGAGAAAAGGGCTCCTTATCTCCCAAAGCCGACCCGATTGTCTCTCTCCAGGGCCACCTGGTTCCCCTCAGCCTTGTGCCTTCGTGCAGCTGGTGTTGACGTCAGGTGAATCACAGAGTCTTGTGTTTACACGTGGATCTCCAAAAGGCAGGTTGCTAGTGAGCTGCGCCAAGGCAAGTTGCAAAGCTCATTTTATTTACTTGTCTTTATATCTGAAAAGTAGGCTTTCTAAACACTGACTATTCAGGGGGATTCACACACATCCCTAGAACACAGGCAAATAACATCATCTCCTCTTTGTCAATGAAGAAATGGACAAAGGTGGAAGCTCCTGGCCCAAGGCCACACAGGAAGCACGTGAGCCACAGAGCCAAATAGGATGGGTGGGGTTAGGCACATGTCCCTCTGCTCCCACCCTAGGCGGCTCCACCTCCTCTGAACAGCATATATTCTTGGATATCTCAAAATGTGAACAAAGGGTGGCTCAGTCCTTTAAGTGTCTGACTTTGGCTCACATCATGAACTCACAGTTCGTGGGTTTGAGCTCCCCTCCCCCCACCGTTGGGCTCTGTGCTGACAGCCAAGAGCCTGGAGCCTGCTTCAGATTCTGTGTCTCCCTCTCTCTCTCTCTCTCCGCCCCTTTCTCACCCACTCTCTGTCTCTCAAAAATAAATATTGGGGCACCTGGGTGGTTCAGTCAGTTAAGTGATGGACATCGGCTCAGGTCATGATCTCACAGTTCGTGAGTTTGAGCCTTGTGACGGCCTCTCTGCTGACAGCTCAGAGCCTGGAGCCTGTTTCGGATTCTGTGTCTCCCTCTCTCTCTGCCCCTCCCCTGCTCATGCTCTGTCTGTCAAAATTAAATAAACATTAAAAAAGTAAATAAATAAATATTAAAACAATTTTTTTAATGTTACACTGGTTGAGTACTCATACCTTAGCTTCCTAAAGCCTCTAGCTCTGTAACAGAATTATTGAGGGCCAGCCTTTTGGTGCAATATGTAAATGGAAGATTCGTGAGGGCCAGCAATGTTGATGTTTTCTTAGCTGCAGTATCCCCAGTGTCCAGACCTATGCCTGGCTCATGGTGGGGGGCTCAATAAATACTAGCTGAATGATGGATAAATTTCAGCTGCATTCTGTTAGCCTTTAGCACTAACATCTGGGTCTTGCCTGTCTGATTCCTTTGTGAGCCCTACACTCCTTAGCCACCTCAGTGATAAAGACCACTTAAATAGGCTTTCAGTTGAGGTTCTCTGAAGAAGTCACAGAAGGTCACATCTAGAATGGTCTTTATGCTATGGATTGTTTTAGTCTATACAAGCATATAGAAGTAAAATGGTTTGTTCAAGTTCCTTCTATTTTAAAAAACTTTTTAAATGTTTACTTATTTTGAGGACAGAGAGAGAGAGAGAGAGACAGAGTGTGAGTGGGGGAGGGGCAAGAGAGAGGGAGACACAGAATCTGAAGCAGGCTCCAGGCTCCAAGCTGTCAGCACAGAGCCTGATGCAGGGCTCAAACTCATGAACCATGAGACTGTGACCTGAGCAGAAGTCGGACCCTTAACCACTTAACTGACTGAGCCACCAGGTGCACCCAAGCTCCCTTTGCTTTAATACTTGCTATAAACTGAAACATGTCCTGCCCAAATTTATTTCTTGAAGCTCCGAACCCCCAGCGTGGTGATATTTGGAGTGGGGCCTTTGGGTAGGGCTCTTATGTTCTTCCTCTGCTCTCTCAAATCTCTCTCTCTGATATGGTGACAAGATGGCCATCTGCAAACCAGGAAGAGGGTCCTCACCAGAATCTGGGCATTTTGGCACCCCAATCTCAGACTAGCAGCCTGCAGAACAGTGAGAAATACATTTCTGTTGTTTAAGCCATCCCCTCTATAGTAGTTTGTTATGACAGTCCAAGCTAAGACAATACCATACCACGCTGGCTTTTCTTCCTTCTTCTTTCCTTCCTTCCTTCCTTTCCTAAGTTTATTCATTTTGAAGAAGAAAGAGTGCACAGGTGAGGGAGGGGCAGAGAGAGAGGGAGAAAGAATCCTAAGCAGGCTCAATGCTCTCAGCGCAGGGGCTGACACGGGGTTCCATCCCACGAACTGCATGACCATGACCTGAGCCGAGATCAACAGTCAGATACTTAACCCACTGAGCCACCCAGGTACCCCTCCACTGGCTTTTCTAATGCAGCCTTGTCTCAGGGTTAGGCTATCATCAACATCATGCTGGTGGTCACCCAGGACAGAACAGTTACAGGAGATTTACAGAGAAAGCCACGCTCTTACTTTTGTCCTCAGCTCTGTAAAACTGAGTTGATACACAGGTTATTGTTAGGTATTTGTTTGGGGCAGACATTGTAAAACTCTAAGCCAGGCTTGGAAAAATGAGCCCTTCTAAGGGGCAAGCTCTCTTGATAAGAAGGCATTTTGTTTCAGGAACAATCTCAGTGGATCCTAGGAATGGGAATCATGACATCACTCCTCATTCTACCTGTGAGGAAGTGTGTGTTTCTCTCTACCTTTCCCCGCTAGGCAGCTGAAGTTATTTATTGGGAAACTCTTATTTCCTGGGCAGAAAAATCTAAAGTAGGAAGATAGATTTGATAACCTATCAGGAAATACATTTGAGAGTCTTAAGCAGGATGGAATTCTAGTGTTTCCTTTTTAAAAAATCTTGTACATTTTTTAAACACAAACATGGTTTATTTTTCTTTGAAGGGTACAGAGGTCTGGAAAATATAAAAACATCTTGAGCCCTTAGGATCAATTTTGGTCCTTACATCTTAGAAATTTTATGGATCAAACTTTGAATGCCTCTAGCTACCCTCAATTGGGCCTTATACTTTCTTCCCAGCTTTGGAGAGGGAACTTGTTGAAATGCCCAGTCTAGGGGAGGTCAGGACTTTGCATAGCCCGTGTGACTATCAGGCCTGTCTGATAGGCCTTTCAGTACTTGGAAGTTTGCACTTGTAAAGCCTGGGCCTGAAAAGAAACCACTTGGCAGACTTAGAAAAACTCTCCTGACCCCGGGTGCTGCTGGGTCTGCCCCACATGGGCTGACCCAGTCCTGCCACATTCTTCCACAGAGTCGGAAGTTCAGTAGGTCCCTGTGCCTGCTGAGATCAGAGCAGGGGACTCTATGAAAGGCTACCGAGAATGAATTCCCTGGAGATGGTGTGTCTGATGAGGAGGAAGCAGAAAGGGGACACATGAGGCTGTCTTCGGACAGACAGCCCTGTGATGCCTACTCTCTGGAGTGTCTATAGATCTGAAGGACCGTGCCCAGGGGAGACTGGAGAATTGTTCGATGGGGGTGGTAACAGACAGCCATCTTGCTGGACGTGGGGGCCAGGGAGATGACTTGTCTTTGAAATTGCACTTTCATAGCACTTTAAGCTTGAAAAAACAATAATTGCTCATTTAAGGAATTGGAGACAGTGACTGGTATGGGGAGTAAGGGGCTCTAAACCCCCAAAGCCACCTGACTGGCACGGCGCTGATACATGAAAGACTAGATTCGATTTTATATAAGAAACTGAGTAGCAGACTTCTCTAAGAATTCTGAGAAATGCACATTCTTTGGCAATCAACATGAACCTACCTCATGTATTTAATTAATCAAGACTGAGAAATATTTTCCAGTGGGAAAACTCACATGCATCCCACTATCTCCCAGAATATATAACGTCTGGAAAGCTCAAATGATATTTTCATGCCTTCCTGGCGCCACTCCAGTGAATGGGCTGCAAGAAAGGTTTATACCAACAGTCATTACTAAAGTTTTCCTCACGGCTGAATCTAATTAATTAGGCCTAGCCAAACCTGCCAGCCACACCCAGGACCCAGCCGAATAACCTTAGAGGATTTAGAAACACCCCTTTGACAAACATTCATTTATTACTCCCTGTGTTCAGTGAATCACCCTACAGTAGATACCACCTGAGAGAACTTCCTCCAAACAGAGGGCTTTATGAAGGAACAGTCAAAGACCTCTGCTTTGTCTTTCATTAGGGAATGTCTTTCTAGTCTCTGATAGTCATAGCAACAGTCCTTGACACTGTTCAGCTACTTTCCAAATATTAATTTTTACTCCACTTCGACCCATAGTTTGCCCAGAACCAAAGACAATGTGATTAATTGCCTTCAGGCCCATATCAAAGGACTAGATTCAACCAGACCCATTTGTTTTCTGTGAAATTGGTATGAGCCTTCTTTTTTTTCCTCCAAAACCTGTAACATATTCCAGAATGGGTAGAAACTCCTCTGAGCACCCTCCACCCCCTGCCATCAGCAATAAGGGTACCTTTGGACCTGGTTTCTTTCAACACACATGTATGGAGTGCTGATTCCGTGCCAAGTAATGTTCAAAGTACCCGGTGAACAACAGAGACTGTTATGTCTCCTGCTCTCCCAAAGCTCTTCCAGTGGAGAGTGGCAGAAGGGGGGGGGGGAGGGGGGAGGGTGGGGAGGGTGGAATAAACACGTAAACAAAGAAGTAATTTCTGACAGCAACAAGCGCTAGGAAGACAACAAGGATAATGGAGAGTGATCGGCAATGTGTGTGCTGTGTGGCCCGGGAAGATGTGCTGAGGAAATAACAGTATGGTTGAGACCTGAATGACAATATTATGCTAATGGTGTCATGTTTTGTCAGATCTACTTCTCTATTTTTAAAGCAATTCCACAAAGACATATACTCAAATAGAGCAAAGAGAGTAATTAGGAGAGCCCTGTCCTCTCATACTTTTTGTTTTCTGAGTGGGAGAAAATATGTGGGGAATGCTGATGAATTGATCGTCTGTAAGGACATCAACATTGCGGTATTTAACAAAATGCACTGTCCTTTGGCCCAATAACCACACTAGGAAATTTCATCTATAGAAATAATGGCACATATGCAAGGAAACAATATATGGATATTTGCCACAGAACAGCTTGTATTAGCAGAAGACTGCAAACAATCCAGGAGTTCATCACTAAAGGATTGGGAAAGTAAATTCTCGTACAGCCACAGGAAAGGAGGCTTTGCAGTCATTAAAAAGATTGAAGTTGAGCTCCGAGATGAACCAAGTGAAGAAAAGCAAGGTGCATGAACGATACGTTCAATATGTTATCATCTTTTAAATATATCTTTTTAAAATATATACTCACATCTGTGTATTATCTTTGGAAGGGGATATGAGAAACAGCAGTTTTTGCCTCAGCAGGTATTAGAGGAGAATTAGGGAGACCATCTATATTCTTTT